AAAGTCTATTTGCTAAAATATAGCTAACGTGTAGTTTATGGAATAGCAATATTGTGTGCCTTGACCTAAAATCATTGAGATAGTACAGCTTCCTGTTTTGTACTATAATGCTCCCATGAAATGCCTTGGGACATTTTATTACTTTAAATGCTTTAAAGTTTAAATACTTTAAACACATATAATAGTTGTTATTGTTTTAACATTGTATGACTGTATCTTTGTATACAGTTCGATCTTGCAGGTGCGTATAACCACAGACAACTTGGTGTACTAGAGGGAGCAGGACAATTAAAAGAAAGATTATCAGCAATATGTCTAATCAAACTGCTGCGTCACAGTGCCAGGGGCCCGGATTCGATTCCAGCCTCAGGCGACTGTCTGTGTGGTGTTTGCACATTCTCCCAGTGTCTACGTGGGTTTCCGCCGGGTGCTCCGGCTTCCTCCCACAGTCGAGAGATGTGCAGGTGAGGTGGATTGGCCATGCTATATTTCCCATAGTGTCCAGGGATGTGTAAATTAGGTGGATTAGCCGTGCAAAATGCAGGGTTATAGGGTACGGGGATGAATCTACATTTGATGCACTTTGCAGAGTTGGTGTGGACTTGTTGGGCTGAATGGCCCGTTTCCACACTGGAGGGACTCTATCGAAATTAAAAAAAAAACAAAATGGCTACAGAAAGTATTACGTCCATTTCTGTTTTGCATCTTGGGAAATATGTCATATTCTTTCAGTGAGGCAGAGATTTACCTGGACGGTTCCAGAAATGAGAGACTTTAGCTTCATTGTCAGTTTTGAACTGTTTTTCCCCACCTAGAATGAAAAAAAGATTGAGGAGAAACTTAATAGAGTCACATCTGATCATGGTGGCTTCGAAGAAGATACACACGTAGAAAAAAAACTGCTCCCATTTACTGAGGTTAGAAAAACCAGAAAACAGTCTTTTGGGTGAGGATGAGAGAAATAAAATTTTCACACATAATGATAGTAAGGTAATGTTATGTCTGATGTGAGTAATTAATTATTTCAGAGGAAATCAATTGGAACATTTCAAGGAAATAAACTTTTCCAGCAGTGAAAATATCGAAATCTAAAAGAGTTGGAGTTATTGTGTCCCCTTCTGCATCATAATGACTGCATAAAAACAGAATTAAGGGTCTAGGCCCGAAACGTCAGCCTTCCTTCTCCTCTGATGCTGCTTGGCCTGCTGTGTTCATCCAGCTGTACACCTTGTTACCTCACATAGAGGTAGCTTCATTATCACGGAAAAGTCGTCTCGGAAACTTCATCGGGAATGTGTTAATGATTCAGAGAGGATTGGTCTCCTGGTTCAAGACAGAATGACGACAGCGCCTCTGGCGCTGGAATCACACTGGGAAGATTCCTCTGTACACTTTCACAGCTTGTTATAGCTCCAATTTCAGACAAAACAAGTGGCATTACAGGTCTTCAGACCAAAAGGGCACTAAAAAAGAGAATTCTGTACGTGCTGCACCTATATAACTGTACAAAAAAAGGCAATGATTAGGCTTGCGAAATGCAGTTGTTCAGAATGATAGGAAAAATTATAGTAAAAACAGCGGGATATCTTTTCAACCGATACTTAAAAAACCGCTTCTTACAAATCTTTAGAAAATTTCAATGATCATTTGAACGACAAGCCAGTAATTCAGCTCAGTAGATGCGTGTGAACAGGTTATTGACCCTCGGTGTAACCGACAATTTATAATTATTAGGTACGCAGTCTAATCTATTGCTCAGATACTGTAAAGTTTCAAGTCTAAATTTTAATTAGAATGTATAGTTACTGGTACCAATTCTGGAAAACGTTGAATAATAAATTGCATTCGAAATGGAATCTTTAAAAAGGGTTCAAGGAGACAAAATCTTCAAATTTATCGAATACATTTAATATTTAGTTACGCAAATGTTAGTGATGGCTGTGCATTGTGAATTTCACTCGCGTGGCAATCCAACGGCCCTGGCTGAAGATCTCGTGGCTCAATCTCATATTCTACCAATAGCGCTGGCGAATGTACATGCAATCAGCTAATTAAAGAGAAAATCTGAATTGAAGTGTGAATTGTAAAAAAAAACGATGATCTGGCTCTCAAGTCTTTATTAACGTTTACTATATATGCTTCCAGACTTAAAACAACGTGATTGAATTTTAGCTGCTCTCAAATGTAATTTGGGATGGACAACAACACTAGGAATGATCATATCCGGGAAAAGAGTACCAAAAATCTCCATAGAATCCCACAGTATGGAAACATACCATTTGGCACAATAAGTCTACACCGACTTTCGGAAGAGCATCCCACCCAAACTCACCCACTACCCACCCTATCCCGTAACCCTGCATTTCCCATGGCTAATCCACCTAATCTACACATCACTGGACACTACGGGCAACTTAGCATAGCCAGTCCACCGAACCTACACAAAAGAATACAAAAAAGTATGCTTTGAGCCACACTCTAAAACACAATTTCATTTCCAATACGAAGTTCATCTCAATATAAAGGAATATGGAGAGGAAAGAGATAGTTTGCACTAAATTTTCACAACCTTGATACACCCGAAACAAAACAGAAAATGTTGCAGAAAGTCAACAGATGTGGTAGCATCTGTGGGAAAAGAAACAGGATTAAGGTTTCGTATCCAATGTGACTCATCTTCAATTTTCAATTTTTGATGCGTTTATATATTTAATTCCACTGATATTTTCTTGTCTGACTTCTTTGATTTAGTTTTGGGAATATTTTCACTGGAATAACCAGACATCGCTACAATATTGAAAATATGCCTATGTCCAGTTATGTTGGAAATACAGCAATATAATTTCATTTCTGCTACACTGTGGAAAACTGTCACAGCAACAATATTCTAGATTGGCGAAAGAAAACTTTTTGTTTTGTTGACTATACTACCTAAAGCGGGTTGACTTGAGACCCAGTCACTCAGAGAGGTGGTGGTGATTTTCTGGGGGTCTTGAGTGTTGCGGCAAAATGTGAACCAGTCAGAGTGAGAAAGGTGATTTCCGAGACGCCAGAGAAATATTAGGCGGTGCGGTGGCCTGTAAAATGGAGCGTATGGGCGGATGAGTATGAGGAGCGGTGGGGCAAGGACAACAAGTAATGGGACATGAGGAAGCGAGTAGATGGTGTGAGACGTGAGGGCGCGAACGGTGGTAAAGAGAACGGAAAGAAGATATGATGTGATGAGTGGTAGAGGAACGGATGAGGAGGAAGGGAATGGGGTAAGGAACAGGGGTCATTGGGATAAGAAGGTGGGCTTAGACAAATTGGTTTCACTTCATTAGCACTAGGACGAAGACTGTAAAAAGAAGGAGCAGGCCTATTGGAACGGACTTCATTTGGAACGTGTTGGAACGTATGACCTGGAGAATTGAATAACTGAGTATGTAGAGATAGCTATAATCTAACCCAGATAATTGGAGGGAGAATTCACGAGAGGGAAATTAAAGAACGAGAATATACAACTCAATAGTGCAGCTGAGTGAAACAGGTAATGACAACCAGAGTGTAACAGCCATCATAAGGAAGGTCCAGAAAATGGAGCTCAGACTAAGGAACACTCTGTTAAAAAGAAAAATCTAGGTAAGAAAAAATATATAAATCTCTACACTCTTTGATTGAATGCAGGCAGCATTAGTAAAAAGATCAAAGAGTTTATAGCACGAATGAATGCGTGTGATAAATGGCCGTGCAGATATGCGATTGTCAGGTGAACAAAACTGCAATGGAAGCTCCAGAGTGTCCAAGGACAGTATCTATTTGGTTAGAGCTAGCAAATAATTGACTTCTGGGCGTATTGAATTGGACTCAAATATCAGGTAAGATAAAAAGGAGCAAATTTGCAAGAAAACAGCAGAATCTAGTAGAACGGTTGTTCTTGTGATGGATGAAAGTTCCTGCAGAGTGAAGGATCTCACATTTTTATGTATTATGTTCCATCTGCTATGCTCTTTGCCATTTTCTAAATCCTCCTGAAGGCATTTTATCAACTTCTCCAAAACGTATATCCCGCTTAGCTTTGTATCATTTAAAATTTTGGAAATGGTGCCTTTGGTCCATACCTCATTAATACATAGTGAAAATCTGTTTCCCATGTATTGATATTTGTGGTAGTCCACTATTCTTAGCCTGCCAATGTGAAAGTGTCCCGTATACTATTACTGTGTATTTTCTGTCTGTTGGCCAATCCTTATCCATGCCCAACATTACATGTTATCCCATGTGCTTTAATTCGCCTAACCAGCCTCATGGAGGGACTTTATAAAAAGTCATCTGAAAAAAATATGTATACTACCTGCGTTAGCTCTCTTTTGTCAATTTTGTTAGTAACATCTTGAAAAAACAAACCCTTCAAGTTCATGAAACACGATTTTCCATTCGCAAAATCATGTTTAGTATGCCCAATCAGATCATTATCATCTAGGTGTCTATTTATCACATCCCTTATAATTGAGCTTCAGCTACTAATGATGGAAGGCTAACGGGTTTGTAGTTTCACACTTTCTGTCTCGCTCCCTTCTTAACTGTGGGGTGCTAGTTGACAACTGAAGATGCCACTTTCAAAGACCATATCTTGAATCTGGCAAGGACTGGTCCAGCCTGATGCCCAGTATTTTACTGATACTACGAGCATGTCCTATGGTACCAAACGGACATTATGAAGGGGAAGGAATGGGAGTTGGTTCAGAATTTAAAGGTATTGAAGTCAATGTGAAGTCCAGAAGGTTGTAAAGTGCCTAGTCGGAAGGTGAGATGTTGTACCTCCAGTTTACATTGTGATTCACTGTAGCCCTGCAGCATGCCGAGGACAGACACATGGGCACGCTAGCAGGACGCTGGGTTAAAATGACCAGCTACTGGAAGATCGCGGTTCTGCTTACGCACAGACTCTCATGATTCCCTAGAGGGCACTACAGCAGCGCAGGGGCATCGAAGGTGAAAGCAATTTGAAAGTTAGGAAGTGCTGAGAATCAACATGGCTTCCACACAGCACCTTCAGAGTTTCACCGAAGAGACAACTTGTCCAATTTGTCTTGATTTTTTCACAGATCCTGTAATACTGGAGTGTGGACACAACTTCTGCTGCTCCTGTATCACCCAAAGTTGGGAAAAGAAGGGGACAAACTCCTGCCCGGAATGTAGAAAGCAGTTTCCGGAAAGAAACCTCACGGTAAATCGGGCCTTAGCAAATCTGGCCGAGAAAGTTCGACATTTAAATCTGAACCCGAAAGACGAGAAAAGCAAACTTTACTGTGAAGATCATCAGGAAGAACTGAAGCTGTTCTGTGAAACTGACAAGAAATTGATCTGTGTGATCTGTCGAGATTCGCGGAAACACAAAGAGCACCACTTCATTCCGATTAAAGAAGCTGTTGAAAATTATATGGTAAATAGGGCACGCTTCATTTCAACACATTTCCGTGATTCGATCCTTCGTTTCTGTATTTTCTTTTCTCTCTCAATTCCAGGACCAGCTGAAATCTTCATTAGATTCTCTCAGGAAGAGGAAATCATCAGTTCTACAAATGGAACTGAACCAGAAACGGAAGATTTCTGAAATGAAGGTGAGGTCTCCCTATGCTAATTTTCTGGGATCTCGGTTATTTTTGTTCCTTTTATCGCGGGACATTAGTGACGTTTCACATTTCATTTGGTAGGAAAAAGCGAGCAGTCTGCAGACCCACATCACATCCGAGTTCACTAAAATGCGCCAGATTGTCACTGAAAAAGAGCAGCGTTTCCTCGGAGATCTCAGGGAAGAAGAGAAGAGGATTCTAGAAGCAATGGAGAAAAACCTTCGAGAGATTCAGGATAATTTAAATTCTATTGACGAGACTCTCGTAAAGTTGCAGAAACAGATGGAGGAAAAAGACGAAATGACATTTCTGAAGGTGAGGGAATATATTTTTGGGTGAATTCAGTCAGTAACAAAATAACTCACAGTAACTAACAAGTTTACATGTCATTCACTGAAAAAAGTAGAATCAGAATTATCCGAATTCGTGCCTATCCCTGGATAGTTCTGCCGTTGTCACTGGGCTAACTATTCCTACACTGTCTGCAGAATCACAGGAACACCAGCAATATCCTGGGAATAAGTTATTCCTGTTCTGAAATTTGTTCTGTGATATTTGTCTTGCCCAAATTTAATATTGCCTTGGAACTCCCAATGTAATCCAGTTTTAGTTACATGTGGTGAGTGGGAGTGTGTCTTTGTGTAGGTAATCGAGGGTAGTAATAACTGGATTATTCCTGGTGCCAAGTGCTAATGAGTGTAGGAATAGGAGGATAGGGCAGATGAATGTATGGCAAAGAAGCAGGTGTAAGGGGCAAGAGTTCAAATTTTTGGACCATTGGGATCTTTTCTGGGGTGGAAATGACCTGTACAAGAAGCATGGGTTGCAGCTGAATTGGAAGGGAAACAATATCCTGGCAGGAAGATTTGCCAATGTGACTCAGGAGGCTTTAAATGAGTAAGGGGGTCCCAAAAAAAAAGTGAGAAAAGAGATAAGTCTGAGATTTGTAAGTAGATAAGGAGAGCAAGTTAAATAGCCAGAGCAAGTAAGGGCAAGGCAGAGAATGCGATAAGACTGATAAATTAATATGCATTTATTTCAATGCAAGAGGCCTGACACGTAAGGCAGATGAACTTAGGGCATGGTTGGGAACAGGGGACTGGGATATCATAGCATTACAGAGACATGGCACAGGGAGGAGTAGGACAGGCAGCTTAATGTTCCAGAGTATAGATGTCATAGGAAAGATTGAAAGGGAGGCAAGATAGCAGGGAGAGTAGCATTTTTGCACAAGATCATAGAATCCCTACAGTGTGGAAACAGGCCATTCAACCCAACAAGTCCCTACCGACCCTCCAAAGAGCATTCCACCCAGGCCCACCCCATTCCTGTTACCCTGTATTTCCCATGGCTAATCCACCTAGCCTGCATATCCCTGGACACTATGGACAATTCTGCATGGCCAGTCCACCTAACCTGCACAGTTCTGGACTGCGGGAGGAAACCAGAGCACCCTCCCAGACATGGTCAGAATGTGCAAAATCCACACAGACACTTGCCTGAGGGTTGAATTTAACCTGGGTCCTTGGCACTGTAAGGCAGCAATGCTAACCACTGAGCCACCGTGCTGTCCAAGGATAGCATTATGGGTGTACTTAGGCAGGATATTCCTGGGACAATGTCAAGTGGAGTTATATGGCTGGAACTGACCAATAAGAAAGGGATGATCAGCATATTGGGATTGTACTATAGGCCTCCCAAGAGTTAACAGAAAATTGAGAAGCAAATATGCAAGGAAATCTCAAATATCTATCAGAATGATAGGGTTATAATCACAGGGGATTTAAACTTTCCAAACATTGACTGGGACTGCCATAGTGTTAAGGGCTCAGCTAGAGAGAAACTTGTTAAGTGTGTATAAGAAAATGTTCTTAGTCAATATGGGGATGTACCTACTAGGGAAGGAGAAAACTCTGGCCTTCCATTGGGAAATGAGGCAGGGGAAGTGACTGTCGTGTCAGAGGGGGAGCACTTTGGGCAAGTGATCACAATTCTAATAGTTTTAAAATAGTTGCAGAAAAGGATAGACCTGATATAAAAGTTAACATTCTAAATTGAAGTAAGGCCGATTTTGATGGTTTTGGGCAGGAACTTTCAAAAGTTGATTGGAGGAGGCTATTTGCAGATAAAAGGATGGTTGGAAAGTGTAAGGCCTTCAAAAATGAATTAATGAAACAATATGCTCCTGTTAATGTGAAGGACAAGTCTAGTAGGTATAGGGAATGCTGGATGACTCTCAAAATCTCATGTAGTCTTTTATGATAAAGCAGTACTTCACAGTAATTCTAGGTGTACCCTCAACAGTCCTGACTGCAAATCTTCTGGGGTAAACAGCAATCTTTGAAAAGACTTCCTTAATTAGTTGTAGTCCTTGTGTAAGTCCTCAAAGAAGTGATTGTATTCTACAATCTTCCCAATGGCACGCTCTCCCCTTCATGGGAAGGATGTTGTTAAACTTGAGAGAGTGCAGAAAAGATTTACAAGGATATTGCTGGGACTGGAGATTTTGAGTTATAGGGAGATGCTGAATAGATTAGGGTTTCTTTCCCTGAAGTATCAGAGGCTCAGGGGCGATGTTATAGAGTTTCATAAAATCATGACGGACATGGACAGGGTGAATAGATCAGATCTTCTACCTAGGTTAGGGGAGTCCAAAACTGGAAGACATAGGTTTAAGGTGAGAGGGGGCAAATTTAAAAGGGATGTGAGGGGTAAATTTTTAATGCAGAGGGCGGTGTGTGTAAGGAATGGGTGTCGGAGGAAGTGGTGCAGGTGGAAACAATTACAACATTTAAAAGACATCTGGACGGGTACAGGTGTAGGACGGGCTTAGGGGGATATGGGTCAAATGTTGGCAAATGGGATTTGGTCAGATTGGGAGGTCTGGTCAGCACATAAGGGTCAGTTTCCATGCTGTATGACTCTATGACTTTATTTGAGGCTGTAGTCAAGAAAAAGAAGGAGGCATATATCAGGTATAGACAACTGGGATTGAGTGAATACTTAGAGGAGTGTAAGAGCAATAGAAATATATTTAAGAGGGAAATCAGGAGGTCAAAAAGTGACAAGATAGCTTTGGAAAATAGGGTTAAGGAGAATCAGAGATTCTACAAATACATTAAGGGCAAAAGTGTAGCTAGGGAGAGAATAAGGACCTTTAAATATCAACAATGCCATCTATTAGTAGAACCACAGGAGGTAGATGAGATATTAAATGAATATTTCATGTCAGTAGCCACTGTGAAGAAGGACATGGAAGCTAGGGAAATAAATTGTGATGTCTTGTAAAATGTCATTTTGCAGAAGAGGAGGTGTTGGATGTCTTAAACGCATAAAGATAGATACGTCCCCGGAACTTGATCAGGTGTACCCCAGGACTTTGTGGGAGACAAGGGAAGAGATTGCTGCATCACTTAGTGAGATATTTGTATTATCAACAGCCATGGGTGAGGTGCCAAAAGCCTGGAAGGTGGTTATTCATAAAATTACTACAATCTGGAAGCAGGCTATTCGGCCAATCGAGTCCACATCAGCCCTCTGAAAAGCATCCTACCATGACCTACCCTCCCCTCACTATCCCTCTAATGCTGCATTTCTCATGGCTAATCCACCTAGCCTGCATATCCCTGGAAACTATGGCGAATCCACCTAAACTGCACATCTTTGGATGGTGGTAGGAAACCAGAGCACCCAGAGGAAACCCAGGCAAACACGGGGACAATGTGCAAACTCCACACAGAAGTCACCCAAGGATGGAATCAAACTGCATTCCCTGGTGCTGTGAGGCAGCAGTGCTAACCACTGAGCCACCATGCTGCCCAAAAACTTTAAAGTGGTGCCATTATTTTAAAATTTTGATAAGGAAAAGCTTAAGGAACTATGGACTGGTGAGCCTGATATCAGTGGTGAGTAAGTTTTGGAGTGGATTCTGAGGGACAGGATTTATGTTTGGGAAGGTAGGGGCTGATTTGGGATAATCAAAATGGCTTTGTGTGTGGGAAACCATGTCTCACTAATTCAAGTTTTTTTGAAGAGGTGTCAAAGAAGATTGAAGACAGAGTGGTAGACAGTGCCCAAATGCACTTCAGTGAGGCGTTTGATAAGGGTTCTGCATGGTAGACTTGTTAGCAAGGTTATACCACATGAGATCCAGGGGATCTAGCCAATTGAATACAAAATTTGCTTGAAGGTAGAAGACAAAGTGTGATGGTAGAGTGTTGTTTCTCAGACTGGAAACATTTGGCCAGTGTGCTGCAAGGGTCAGTGCTGGATCCACTGCTTTTCATCATGTTGAAGATATTAATTTAGTCACACACTGGAGCTTTAGACTTTGAGGTAAAGAGGCTTTATTCATGATATCAGGGGGAGCCAAAGCTGACAAAAGGTCAGGTCTGTAGTCTCCGATGAGTACAAAAACAAGGCAATACTTATTCACGCCATTATAGATTGACACAGTTGTTTCAAGCAGATAAGCACGTACACAGTTTATCACATCCCCTTAAGGCAGGCCATATGTCCTGTCATACATCATAGTTCCACAGCTTGTGGTTGCTGATACGTTATCTTTAAGCGGAACGTGTCTTAAGCTTTGGGTCAACATTGAACAACAGCTTCTAAGCTTTCTACAGATATGCAACAATTTGTCGCATATCTCTTACTTGACCTATTTTTCCATCATTCCAACCTCTAATTCTAAGCTTTAGCTACATTCTACATCTAATTGCTCTTGACACTTGAATTATTCTTCCACACATCATTTATATGAATGATTTGGATGTGAATATATGAGATATGGTTAGTAAGGTTGCAAATAACACCAATATAGGTGGTGTAATGAACAGTGAAGAAGGCTATGTCAGAGTACAATGGAACCTTGATCAGATGGGCCAACGGGCCAAGGAGTGGCAAATGAAGTTTAATTTAGGTAAATATAAGGTGTTGCATTTTGGTAAGGTAAGCCATTTATACACTTAATGGAAGGGTCCTAGTGAGTGTTGCCAAACAAAAAGGGTAGGGGTGCAGGTGCACGGTTCCTTGAAAGTGGAGTTGCAGGTAGACAGAGTGAAGAAGACATTTGGTCCACTTGTCTTTATTTGTTAGTGAATTGAGTATAGAAGTTGGGATATCATTTTGCTGCTGTATAGGACATTAGTGAGGCCGTTGTTAGAGTGTTATGTTCAATTCTGGTCTCCCTGCCATAGGAAAGATGTTGTTAAACTTGAAAGAGTTCATAAAAAATTTGCAAGAACGTTGCCAGGATTGGAGGGTTTGAGATAAAGGGGGAGGCTGAATAGGCTGGTACTTTTTTACCTGGAGGATGGTGGCTGATCTTATAGAGATCTTATTTACAAAATCATGAGGGGCATGAACAGGTGAATAGCCAAGGTCCTTTTCCAAGGGTAGAATAATCGAGAACTAGAGCTCATTGGTTTAAGGTGAGAGGGGAAATATTTAAAAGTGTCCTGAGGGTAACTTTTTCACACAGAGGGTAGTGCACGTATGGAACAAGCTTCCAGTAGAGGTAGTGGAGGCTGGTACAATTACATTATTCAAAAGGCATCTGGATGGGTACATGAATAGCAAGGGCCTAGAGGGATATGGGCCAAATGCTGGCAAATGGGACTAGATTAGTTTAGGATATCTTTTCGACATGAATGAGTTGGACCAAAAGGTGTGCTTGCATGCTGTATGACTCGATCACTATGAATGGTTTGGACCAGACCAGACACCCAAAGTATATTATGGAGGTAGCATAGACCCTAACTTTTATATTTTCTTAAAATGCAAGTAGAAGGTGCAATGTTCCAGATATCATTTAATTTGTCCACTGCTAAGCTTTAATCAAAACACTTTTTATCCTTATAACACATTAAAATACATCAAAAAGAAGAATTGGCATAACTTTACTTGATTGAAATACTTAACCTGATAAAGGATTATTTAACCACTAATCAACAACTGTTCCAATTTCGGCAGCATCCCTTGGCAAAGGCTGTTCAGCGAAACAGTTATACTGTCTTTTGCCAGTCCTGTAGAAATAAACACTGAAAGAAACAATCTGCCCCTTTTGAGTTTGAAGAGGAAGCCTTTCTGTCTGAAATGTCACTGGAGCAGCAGAGAACTCAAGCTTACAGCTCTAGCAGTCAGCAAAAACCTACTCAACTAACTGAAAGCAAAACCAAAGTCCTCTGGGTCTGTGTGAGCCTGATCCTGCCCACTCTTGATTCTTTTATTCGTACTCAAAAACAGCCAGGCAGAACTCAAAGCTATTTACCAATTGCCTATCTGAAGGAGACATTTCAACACAATTGTGACAATATCCCTCTTCAAGAGAAACAGGACAGAACACATCTCTTAAAATATCATCACAGGGACTAATGTTGAGTTCCAGTGTATTTTGCCTCTCCACCAACTTGTTTTCAAAATGCATTATTTTACACTTCTGCTGTCTGCTCATTTCAGCTCAGGAACTTGGAGATATAAATCGTACTGTCTGTCTCCTCCTGAAATCTGTTACCATCAATCTCACTCATTGTATTTAATTTGTTTCAGGAGGAAGCTTGCTGTGAGACAAGGTAGGACACACTCTGTACTGAAATGCAGTCCTGTATATTTATTTCCTGGTTATTGCCACAGTATTAATTTGCCAGTCTTCACGCGACCATAACTTGGCTGATTGATCACGTGTGCTTGCATAATAACGTACTATTTGACAATTTGGAACTGTATTAGATTATATACAATTGATGTACAATATTGTGCTCAATGACAAGACGTAAGGTAAGAATGTTCCATGACCTGAACTGATCACTGTCGCATGTAGACTGTCTGTATTACTTTTCACTTTCTATGTTCCATGTTTCCAGCAAATGGCCATCCTTGCCTCTGCATGGTTCCTGGCCAACCCAATCAAGTCATGCTTTAAAGGCAAGATGACTTTTTTACACTATAATACAAACTCGCTTTTTAACGTCAACATCCACAGCAGCAAAATCATGTGTTTATTGAGAGACTTTGCTGTAATACAAGGTCCCAACCATTAAACAGGTGTGTAAGAAAACATTCAGACAGAATCATGAAGATGATATTGACAGTTGTGACAGAAATCATTTAAAGGATTACCTTAAATAAACAAAGAGAATCAGAGAAGTGAAGACACTGTGCAAGGGAATTCTGGATTTTAATGACTCAACAGCTGAGGCACTGCCATTGGTAGTTCAGCAGCTTGCATTAGGAATGACCAAGAGGCGAGAGTAGAGGAACACAGTAATCTGTGAGTTTTTTTTTTCATGAGTGCAGTAATAATTTAGAAATGAAGCTTTTGGGTGTTTTCAACCATTGCCTTTGTTCTATAAACTTTCTTTAAACACAGCACATGGATAGGCTTAATGTCTTTAATTTCCTACTGTATGTTATGTCTTGGTAACTCAAAAGCAATACCGATTCAGGCAGATGGTTGATGTAGGGTTTGGCACATTTTAAGGGAGAAAACAGAATTAAAGATAGAGATGTTTAATGGGGAATTCCAGACCTTGTATAAGGCAAAGCTCTTACAATGGCTTTTCTGCTTATGAATTTAGTTGTGAATACACCAAAGGGACTCCAAATCCTGAGAGGAAATCAAGGCCATCTAACAATAATAATCCAATTGGAAGGTCAAACACCAAATGGGCAGTAACTAAAATCAGAGATGTTCAAGATGTTCAGTTAATCTGGTGTCAGTAAGTGGGTCTTTCTTCTGGGCACAGGGCTATCATTTAAAAGTTATCTTTTGTTTAGTTACAGAATCAAGATTGACATTTCACTTTCTGCCACATTTTGTGTATGATAGAAAATGCTGAAGTTTTGATGATTTGATTGTTAAAAATGTTCCAATAAATTCAAATGGACAACATCCTTTCTTTAATGTTTACAGGATTACTGAGGAAAATCAAGCACTTTCAATAGCTGATGGTGCACTGTCAATTGGAATCTTCAATGGTCCTTTACAGTATACAGCATTGAGAGAAATGATTGATGACATTAACCTTGGTAAAGCTCTTGCAACAAATTTTCTGATTATGAATTCAGTTGTGAATAGACCACATGGGGTCCAAGGTCCTTAATTAAATTGAGACCATCTACAATAATAATCAAATTCTCTCTGCAAATTCAGCATACTTTTCTACCTCCATTCCCCTCCTGAAATCTCTACTTGCCCCCATTCTATCTGCCCCATGTTATCACTTCTCTCGCTTCCTTTCTCATTTCCTCATCCAGTGTATTTGTTTCAAATTCACCTCACCAGCTGCTTCTCTCCTTCATTCAACCCATTACACTCCCTTCTATTCCCTTGTATTCTCATTCAGCATCTTTCTCCAAAACTTAGTCCATACAATTGTCTTTATTTTATTTTTGGTGCCAATTCTATTATGTATATTGTAATTTAATTTTGTGCCTCATGTCTGAGGGCGAGATTAAGTGAGGCTTGTGTAAGAAAATCTGTCTGCTTTTCAGGAAGAAATAACACACACACACACACACTCTCGGTCCACTTTAACTCTCTCCCTCTGTCTCCAACTTTCTCTCCACTCTCCAGCACTCCTCAGCCCCTTACCTTCATTTTCCCACCACCTATTCCTCTTCCACCCTCATTCTGTGTTGCCTCCCTCACATTCATACTCTCTCTGTGTCTCCCGCTCCCTCTAATGGCATTATTTTAATTTTTCCCCAGTTCCAGCCTCACTGACTTTGGATCCTAACACAGCGAATCTCCGGCTCATTCTGTCTGAAGACCAGACCAGTGTGAGGCTCGGAGACAAACAGCAGCAGCTCTCAGACTCCCCGGAGAGATTTGATCCCTGGCCCTGTGTCCTGGGATCAGAAGGATTCACGTCAGGGAGACATTACTGGGAGGTGGAGGTGAGGGAGAAGACTCAATGGACTATGGGAGTAGCTAGAGAGTCAATGGACAGGAAAGGGAGCATCGGACTGCAGCCTGAGCCTATATACTGGATTGTTGGGCTACTTTATTCAAGTGAATATTTTGCCCTCTGTGCCAACTCACTGAGGCCTCTCACACTGAGCATTACACCCCAAAAGATCGGTGTTTTCCTGGACTATGAGGGTGGACAAGTGTCATTTTATAATGCAGACAACATGTCCCATCTCCACACTTTCACCCACACTTTCAATGAGAAGATCTTTCCCATTTTCTGCCCAGGACTGGATGATCATGGAAAAAATATTGCACCACTGGCCATTTGTGGCATTAAAGAAGACTGAAAGATCTGTGCACCAACATAACTACCACTAAAGTCTCACTAATCCCAATTTCCAGCACTTGTCCCATATCCTTCAATGTTATGATATTTAAAGTCCTTATCCAAATATTTTTTAAAGGTTGTAGGGTTTCCGGCCTCCGTTACCTTCCCAGGCAGTACATTTCAGATTCCCACTACCCTCTGAGTGAAGGTATATATGTTAGGTATAGAGAGTGTGATTAAGTGATTCCCTTGAGGAGTATAGGGGGCATAGGAATATCCTTAAGAGAGAAATCAGGAAGGCAATAAGAAGCATGAGATAGCTTTGACAGATAAGGGTAAGGAGAATCCAAAATATTCTACAAATATATTCAGTGCCAAAGAGTAACGAGGGAGAGAATTGAGATCCTTGAAGAGGATATCAATAAGGCCATCTACGTGTTGAAACACAGGAGACAGATGAGATCCTAAATGAATACTTCAGTTCAGTCTTTATTGTAGATAAAGTTATGGAAACTAGGGAATTTAGGGAAGTAAATATTGATGTCTTGAAAACAGTCCACATTACAGAAGAGGAGGTGTTGGAGGTCTTAAAATGCATAAAGGTAGATAAATCCTCAGACCCTGATTGACTATATCCCATGACATTGTTTGAAGCTAGGAAAGAAATTATGGGGACCCTAGCAGAGATGTTTGTATCATCGACAGCCAGTGCTGGAAGACTGGAAGGTGGCTAATGTTGTGCCAGTATTTAAAAAAGGCTTCAAGGAAAAGCCAGGGAACTACAGCCTGGTGAGCGTGATGTCACTGGTGGTTAAGTTGTTGGAGTGAATTCTGAGAGACAGGATCTACATGATTTGGAAAGGCAAGGATTGTTTAGGGATAGTCAACATGGCTTTGTGCATGGGAAATAATGTCTCACTAACTTTATTGAGTTTTTTTGAAGAGGTGGCCAGGTAGATAGATGAGAGGAAAAGCATAGACTTTGTCTACATAGACTTCAGCAAGCCCTTTGACAATGTTCCACATGAAAGATTGGTCCAAAAGGTAACAGCTCATGGTATCTAAGGCAAGTTGGCAAACTGGATCCAAAATGGGCTTACCACAGGGTTCAGCACTGAGACCCTTCCAATTTGTCATTTACATCAACAATTTGAATATGAATGTAGAACTTATAATTAGTCACTTTGCAGTTGACATGAAAATGAGGAGGATCATCTCAGGTTACAGTCTGACATTGATCAGCTGGTAAATTGGGCAAAGCAATGACAGATGGAATTTATTCCGGATAAATGTGAAGTGATGCATTTTGGGAGGCCCAATAAGGGAAGGACATACAGAATGAATGATAGTACCCTTCGTAGTACTTAGAAACAATGGCACTGTGGTGTCCAAGTCCATAGATTCCTGAATGTACCAGCACAGGTAGATAGGGTGGTGAAGAAGGTTTACAAGATCTTGCCTTCATTAGCTGAGGTGTAGAATAAGGAGCAAGGTATTCTTACTGCTTTTGGAATACTGTGTGCAGTTCTGTTTGTCACACAATCAGAAGGTCGTGATTGTGCTGGACAGGGTGCAGGAGAGATTTACCAAGATATTGCCCGGGATGAAAAGTCTCAGTTTTGATAAGAGACTGGATAGGCTCGGTTTGATTTCCTTGAAGCAGAGGAGGCTGACACGGTATTTGATTGACTAATACCAAATTGTGAGAGGTATAGACAGAGTAGATCATGAGAATCTCTTCCCATAGCAGACGTGTCTCAGACCAGAGGGCATAAGTTTAAGGCAAGGAGTAAGTGGTTTACAGGAAATTTGAGAGAGAAGTTTTTCATCCAGAAGTTGGTAGAAATATGGAACGTGCTGCCTGAGAAGCATCTGGATTAGTGCTTAAAATGCCAGGGCCTAGTAGGCTATGGACCAATTGGAGGTAAATGGGATTAGTGCAGTTTGGTGTTTGTTGGTTGGCATAGACATGATAAGCCAAAGGGCCTATTTCTATGCTGTATGACTCTGACTCTAAGCTTACTGCTCTTCACATCCTCAAAGGAGGCTGCCTTGAAAAATAGTCTAAGTTTGTTTATATTTTTGTGAGACCTGGAAGAGCAAAGCCAACAAACCAACCCTAATCAATGCTAATCCTATTTCTTATACTCAGCCATCTGTTGTGTCATGCCATCTGTTGATTGATTGCCCACCCCATACCTTGACTTTTCTTCATTTCTGTGTCAGATTAAGTCAACTGATTTCAAACACAAGGGCAAATGCCGTTCTGGTGCCTGCACTCTCCCGGCCACATAAAGTCGTAGGTTCATACAGCACGGAAATAGACCATTTAATCCAACTCATCAATGCCAAGTTTCCCAAATTAAACTAGTCCCACTTGACTGTGTTTGGCCCATATCTGTCTAAACCTTTCCTAATCATGCACCTGTCCAAATATCTGTTAAATGTTGCAACTGTACCTGCATTTATCACTTCCTTCAGCAGTTCATTCCACATATACTGTGAAAAGCCGGGTTTAATGATTTAATACATTTGTGATAATGGACAAGCAGTGGATAATCTCCAGTTATTGAGATCTCAACACCATAACTCTTTTGGTTAATAATGTAAATTGTTCACAACCCATCGTCAGAGAAACTATAGTCCTGCATCTCTAATCTTTCCAGTTCTCCTGTAGGTATTGAAACCAAATTCCTGACACCACCGATCTATTACTTTGCCACTTCCTTCATTTTATTTCCCAATAACTTTTTGATTTGTGTTCTGTCTGCTTCACATCCACTCATTATTCTTATTTCAAATTGTGAGCAGTTCCGATTGACATTCTCTTCTCTATTATCACTCAACGTAATTTGACCTAAGTTCTGAATATCTATGTAAGCTGTCCATTTTTAATCCACTGAAAGACCCACTATAACATTGTTAATGATTGAGATCAATGTTTTGTATTAACAAGTTAATTAAAAGTGACACCGTAAGGGAATAAAAACTATGTGACCAGGCTGGGACTGACATTCAATATGACCACGCCTGATCCTTTTTCTCAGCTTCACTTTCATTTCCATTTCCCTCAATACATTAAAACATACAAAATCTGTCCATCTCTGCCTTCAGTATGTTGAACATTGGAGTCTTCACAATTCTTGTATGTAGATAATTCCAAAGATTCACAATCACGAGTAAAAGTACTTCTGTCTATTTCAGATCTAAATAATCAGGGCCTTATGCCAGAGTGTTTTAGACTCCCTAATCAGGGGAACAATCTCAGGGTCTACACAGTGAAGCCCTTTCAGAATCTTTTACGTTTCAATAAACTAAGTACCCATTGGCCTAAACTCCATGAAGCAGAGGCCTAATTTACTCAGCCTATCATGGATGGCCCCATTGTAACAGGAACCAATTTCACTGTAGCAACTGGGTGACAGCTTTCAAAAATAGATTGTGTTTCATTTAAAACATTGTGTTCTAATGAATTCTAATCCATGAAATAAACACATTATATGTCTCCACTTCACTTCTTGAAGTATGAATAATCTTTTCATTTTTGTCCAGCAATCTGAAAGTTTTTATTCTTATTCAGGATTTCAAATTGTTCATAAGGAAACAGGAAAAGATTAATGCACTAGGGTTGAGGATGTCTTTTGTCAGTGCTACTCAATACACCCAGAGGCTGACTGTGTCTGGCTATTAATCTTAACTAATTATTTAACTGAAATCTGTAATAGCAGAAATTAACACAAACACTGCAATATGGTTTTTTCCAATGTTCCTCAGTTATTTTTGGACAGTATGCTATGTTTTGTTCCTCAGAAATACTCGCCTGAAATAACAAAGCACAAATACTAACACACAGCAGATGATGGCAGTATACAAACACAAAACAAAACTCATCTTTGCGGTGTGAATACGTGCAAGAATAAATAATAAAATGTTGAACTGCCCAATCACAGCTGCAAATAATCTGAAGGCAAAAATTTGGTCTTTTGAGACATATGAACTGTTGGAAGAAAGTGGCAAGTAGATAATAATACATCCATTGTGTCAGTGCTTAGTATTGTTGACATGTTGACACTTAATATTGAGGTCAAGTCACCTGGGCAGCTAAGAAGGGGAATTTTACAAATACAGGGCGTGTGAGAAACAGAAGTTAGTGGTGGAGAAAATCAAGCTAATAGTAATCAGAGGATGCACTGTAAGCAGGAATATCTTTATAACAGCACTAGGAAAACCAGAATAATCTGCTGATATAAAAAACGAGTGTAGCCGATTCAGCATCTTTAACACTGTCCAACATTCCATTTAAGCAGGCACTGACACTTAGCACAGAAGACAAACTCATTATGAAATTTTAAAAAAAAATCAAAAGTCAGGGATGGTAGGAACTGCAGATGCTGGAGAATCTGAGATAACAAGGTGTAGAGCTGAATGAACACAGCAGGCCAAGCAGCATCAGAAGAGCAGGAAGGCTGACATTTCAGGCCTAGACCCTTCTAAGGGTCTAGGCCTGTAATGTCAGTCTTCCTGCTCCTCTGATGCTGCTTGGTCTGCTGTGTTCATCCAGCTCCACACCTTGTTATCTCAAAAGTCAGGGAACATGTTTAGGATATAGTTGGAAAGATGCAGGATATTCTGGATGGTGGAAGGTGGGTAGTGTTGAGGAATGATGAATTTGTTACTTAGAAATAGGTCTGTTCACATTGAAGATATGTGCCAAAAGGATCTGGAGAAACAGGGTGAACTAATAGCAATGTAAGAATGGTGCAAGTATGGTAAGATCACCCAGGCCATTTCTTTCTTTATTGTTCTGGTGAATGAAACTTGGGTGAAGAAAATAGCAAGTAGAAATAACTACCCGGAGAAGTTGGGGGCACACTACCTTTTTGAGGGCAGCTACGGTAGGAATCAAACACAAAGCTGTGCATAGTACAGATAAGGCAAAGACAGCATATTTCTCTCCCTAAAACAAATTAGTGAGCCAATCTTGTTTGAGAACCCACAAACAAATGAGAAGGTTCCCGGTCTTTTTCTTTCAGATTTGTTTTTAGTTGGTTGAATTTGAACTCCCATAGCCTCCACACTCAGATTTGAACTTGTTTCTCCAGGCCATTAGTTCAGAGTCCTGGATTACTCCTCCAGAAACATGACCACTCTGGTGTAAATCTTCTGACAAAAAAAAGAAATGACCAAATAAAAAAATAAAGGAGCTTGGGATGTAAATAGATGAAATATTTCCATTAGATAAGAAAAAGAAGACTAGGAGGAAATGTGATTCCTCATAACATTGATTAAAGAGTAAAAACCAGAGAAAGGTGGGTAATATACCAGGCAATACTAACTAAGGTAAAGTAGGGGGACGTAAGATAGCTATGTATACAATGGACTGCAAAACATGACTGCTAAAGATATTACCCAATTTCCAAACAAAAGACAACCATCATGCAAGGGATTTAGAACATTGTCAGAATATTATCAGCATGGCTGATTACAGCCATGGATGTTCAGATCTTCATTAAAGCAAATAACTGGGATGCTGGAGATCTGAGAAAAAAAAACAGAAATTGCTGGAGAAACCGAGCAGATCTGACATTTATGGAAAAGAAGCACATTTAACATTTTGAGTCCAGTGAGACACTTTATCAGAAATGCTAACAGCTAGGAGGAAATGGTATTTACACTGAAGCCAAAATTGGGGGAATGGAGGGGGAAGGGGAGAGGTGAGCGCATAGGTGGAGATGGAGCCCAGAAAGAGAGAGAGTGAGATGTGAAAGTGGTAGGTAAATAAGGAGATTATGAATAACAGGCCAGCGCAGAAGTAAAGATGAAGAAGTACGATTCAGAGATAAGAGTCGGTGAAAATGGGCAAGTTGTACTGAATGCAACCTATATAATGTGATAATGGGCCCAGGAGCATGAAAAAAATGGTAACAGTGGTAATAGCAACCGCGAACAGGACCGAGTGTGGGTTGGGTAAAGAAAACATGGAAAGGTGGAATCAAACAATCAGGATCCCCCCATAGCCTCATTTGCTCTAAGGAAAAAGCCCTAGCCTATCCAGACTCTCTTTGTAGTTGAATTGCCTCAGTCCAGACAGCAGCCAAGCAATTTCCTCTGCACCCTCTTTGAATTGTTGTGCCATTCCTATAATGTTGTGATTCGATTTTAAAAAATGATGGAATGAGTAATGTGGAACTTGCAGCTCCTCCTGAGTTTCAGACTTTTCTTGTGAATTTCCTCTGGGTTTTTACAAAGCCGAAGCAGAAAATTTTCATTTAAAATTATTTTTGCAACTTCTTTAGACCAAAAAATGAGTGAAAAAAATAGGCAAAGAAGGAGAGATTTTTTTTTCTCGCACAGATTTTGTGGGAGAGGCCTATCAAGTTTGTCAAGTGTCAATGGCTTTGGAGAGAGATTTTCTTTCTGTTTGAAAGTCCAAAAAAAAGTGAAAAAAATACGAAGAAGGAGAGACTGTGTGAAAAACAATGTTTGTGGGAGACTTCTGAAGAGAGGCTTCTTTATCCATCTGGTTTTCCCGGAGAGAACTCTGAAGAGTTTTTCTTTGAACTGGTTTGTTGTGGCTGTTCAAATAATGACTGGGATCAGGGAACGGAATTTCTTTTTCTCAGATCCAGAGACTTGAAAGCTGACTGATAGAGGACTGGGGGAAGAGGCTTTTATCGGTTGATGGGAGATTTTTTCTAAATGATTTTAAATATTAAATATTAAAAAAATTTAAATGTTTAATCTTTTTTCACTTTTGCATGCTTCAGATTAAAATCTGTAGGTAATGAAGGGAAGTTCTTTTTGATACATAACATTATTTTAAGAGCTTTTACTTTTTAGGCTTAGTATCACTGAAGGTACAGAATGTGATGATTAGTAAATTTAGAGAATTGCTTCAGAACGGGATCAGACAAATAGATGGGAAAAGTAAGAAGGTAGTTCAGAAGTCACCTGTAGCTATTCCATTCTCAAACAGATATTCCATTTTGGGTGCTGTTGAACGGGATAGCCTCTCAGAGGAAATTTGAAGTAATAATCTGGTCTTGGGCACTAAAAATGAATCTTATGTGAAGGAGGGTTTGAAAGAATAATTGTTATAGGGGACTCTCCTGTCAGGGGAACAGACAGGAGATTCGGCAGCCTCAAGTGTGAATCCAGGATAGTATGTTGCCTTCCTGTTGCCAGGGTCAAGGACATTTCAAAATTGTTGAAGTATATTGTCAACGAGGACAGCAAGAGGCCAGAAGTTGTTGTGCACATTGGTAACAATGACATAGTTAGGGAAATAGTCAAAGTTTTGCAGAGTGAATAATAAGAGGTTAGGTAGAAGTTTAAAAGCAGAGCATCAAATGTGATAATCTCTGGTTTACTCCCAGTGCCACATTCTAGTGAGCAATAGGAATAAAAAGACAGGGCAGATAAATCAGTGGCTGAGGAGAAAATTCAAAGTGCAAGGATTCGGATTGTTGGATCATTGGGATCTCTTCTGGAGCAGTAAAGACCTGCTCAAAACAGATGGATTTCACCCGAACTGGAAAGTGACCAATATTCTGGTGGGGAGATTTGCAGGTTCTGTTTCAGGAGCTTTTAAATTAGTAGAGAGGTGAGGTTTTGGTTCGGGGGGGTGAGTACCTAAGCAAAAATGAAAATCGAAAAACAGTTGAAACGTTTGTGAATCAAAGAAAAGCACATTGTTAGAAAGATAGACAAGAGCAAGTCAGAGAACGAAGTAACTCCGAGGAATTAAACTGCATTTATTTCAATTTAAGGGACCTTGCAGGTAAGGCTCAGGCATGCATAGGAACATGGAACTGGGACATCATAACTAAGGTTCTTGAGTAGATCTGTAGCTCGGGTTGTGGATGCTGTGGTTGGTTCGCTCACCGAGCTGGTTTGTTAGTTCTCAGACGTTTCATTATCCTTCTGGGTAACATCATCAGTGCAGCCTCCGATGAAGCGCTGTTGTGTTTTCCTGCCTGGTGATTAAACTCTGGGTCTGTTGGATTTGATTACCTCATTTCCGGTTTTCCTTCACAGTGGTGTATATATAGGGTGTAGTTCTATGTGTTTGTTGATGGCCTTCTTGGTGGAGAACCAGGCTTCTAGGAATTCCTGTGCTTGTCTCTGTTTGACCTGTCTTAGGATCCTGGTGTTGTCCCACTCGAACGGTGGTTCTCCTTATCCATGTGAATGGAGGCCAATACTGAGGCCTGGTTCTACACCAAGAAGGCCATTAACAAACAAATAGAACTAGACCCTATATATACACCACTGTGAAGGAAAATCGGAAATGAGCTTATCAAATCCAATGGACGCCAGAGTTTAAATACCAGGTGGGAAAACACAACAGTGCTTCATCAGAGTCTGCACTGATGATGTCACCCAGCAGGGTAATGAAACGTCTGCAACTAATGAACCAGGTCAGTGAGCAAACCAACCACAATATCATAACTATATGGAAATTTGGCTGAGAGAAAGACAATATTGGCAGCCTTAAAGTTCTGGGTTTCAGGT